GATTTATATGTATGTTTAGGTTCCTGTACTTGGTGTAGATGAAATATTGAATTAAAAAGGTTCTGTGTGTCACTAAAGCAAAAAAATTGTTCTACAACTTTGCCTTAAAATCATCATGCACAAACACAAAACAATTAACCTACGAGTATCAAAACATGATACAACTTTTCTACAATTTTCTTACTGCATACTACAAATCTTCACAACCTTATAATAAAAGACCCCCTGTCCTCCAGCAGCTGCTTGTCCTTGTTGAAAGAGTCCAGCAAAATGACCATAAACTTCACAAAGTAAGCACTCAGCCCAGTGGGTTTGGTCACCTTGGCCTGGCTGGGCAATCCCATCTCCTCGTAGTTCAGGGTGATATTATTACCCGCGGGGTTGGAGGAAACTTCGGTCAGGACCTCAAGGTCCAGCAGGACAACCTGGAAGGAGATTTCAGACAATTAGGCTTCGTTCACATGGAAAGTCGATTTTCTAAAAATCTATTTTCTATTCGCGGTATATCTTGTGATCACGGTCTGTGCCCTGAATGTCCCGCGGCGTAATTACTGGCAGCGCGAGCCAGTTACTATAAGTTACTATAAGTAACTGGCTCGCGCTGCCAGTAATTACGCTGCGGGATATTCAGGGCACAGACCGTGATCATAAGATACCACGAACAGAAAATAGATTTTTAGAAAATAGACTTTCCATGTGAACGAAGCCTTAAAGACATAAGCAATGAGATACACTGACATATCATTTTAATAAGCTTGAGACAGTTAAGAGCTAGAAAAAAAAAAAAAACAAGACTTGGGTGTTATGCTTGACATGCTAATGTGTCTTTAAACATAAAACTTGGTAAGAAATGAGTCATGGATCATGGTTTTAGTTACCAGGTTTAAATTAGTTAACTTCACTTTAGATAACTATATATACTGTACAGTGTAACTGAAGTTGAGAATTGAAGTACATAAGCTTGGGAAAATTTAGTTAATATTTATGATAAAAACAACAGCTTACCTCATCTGATGGATCAGACAGTGTTTTCATCAGCAATGGAAAGAAGTCATCCACAAAGCAAAACATCTGTAATGATGATGTTATAGTATACAGATAAAACATTTACTACACTACACAAATTTATACAATGTGCATATTTATTTTATTCATATGCACCCTTGTTATTGTTAACTTCTTTTTTTATGCTGGACAGTAAATTTGTAGTACATTTCATGTACCCTGTATAATGACCATGCCTATTCTAGTCAAACTTACAAAATCAAAATTTATTACTTTAACATCATCACTGCTTGCTTACTCAAAAACCAAAAGCTTCAAAAACTCAAAACCTAAAGACTAATACCTTCTCTGGTGTTTTCTGCAGGAGGTGATAAATCCAACGTAGCGAAGCCTCTCTGGTGGCTATGGCCTCATGGGACAGATATTTCATCAGCACTCGGACCACGGCGCCGACGTCCAGCAAGAGGTCATCGCTGACACCCTGAACCTTACTGAATGTGAACACACTATTCAGAGAGGGTGGGGCAGAGAGGGAGGAGAAGCAGAGATCATGTTAGAAATCAAATGCATAATTATATAGAAAAAATCAGCACCCTGTGTTACAGAGTTTAATTAACATGGATGAAACTGTCGTTTAGTTACTATGTGGCTAGGGGTCCAGGGGCCACCTCAGCCAATAATATTTTTGGCTCCCAAAGAGTCAGAAATCCACGACAGTTGGAAAAATTTCACCCCTGAATAACCTGTGCAATTCAAAGTATTACTGGAAAGTACTCTCTATATTTAATTGTGTCTGCAATTTCCAGTAACACCCAGGGTTTCGGAAATCACTACCTCTGGCGTTACCCATAATTCCCAAAGCAAAATGGTGTTGCTGCTGGGTGAGGACAATGACTGCATGGTTATCATCTGTGCTTTTTTTCTTATCTTTTGGATAAAAACATGTACAAATCTTAGATAATTATCTCAGGGTGAAAGGTTCATCGTGAATCAGAAATAGTGACAGGCTGCCAACAATAAGGGTTCAAAATATCATCTGATTAAGGGTTTAAAAAGCAGATTACATATAAAGTTAATGCTGCATGAAAGCAACAATTGCATTTATTGTGATAATAATTCATAGTATTGTAAGCTAGGGCACAGTATCACACAGAATGGTAATAAAAGCAATTTTCCAAATTACAGTTTTAGCAAAATATCTATATAAGAAACTGCATTTTACTGCAATTATCACATTGAAACAAAAAGTACAGTAATAAATGGATACAGCAACATGATGGACAAACATTTCCAAAATATCAAACAAACATTAGAGATACAATATCTTCAATTATTTGATCTGACTCCTTAATCCAAGTTCTTACCCAGTTCTTGTGGCCACTTTTGTAGCAGCAGACTCTGTTTCAGACTTTGTTCCCTCTTTCACTTCATCTTTTCCGCCCGTGGAATGCACTTTTTGCTCTGCGGACTGGGCTCCCGCGTCAGCCTCTGCAGCTATCAAACTGATCATGTTGGAGTTGACAATCTTTGCAACTTCTAGGGTATGTATTTTAGTTAAGAAAAAACATTTTCTTGTACAAAAATGAGTATGAGAAAGACATAATTAAAGTGTACCACATAATAAAGTGTATTCACTAGTAATAACGTTAAGACTCTTTATCATTGAGCAACTACTTTGAGAAAATCAACTCCANGAAAGTGCACGGCGCCGGCGACGGCGACGGCGACGACAGACGCAGGTGATGGCTATATGTACAGACACATCTGTGTCTGTACATAAAAATCAGAAATCTTAAACTTGATTATATGCCTTTTTTCTTGGGGACAGAAGAGGTGGCGGAAAACTACCAAAGCTGAGGAGCCGGGAAGGGGGGGGGGAGATGTCTGTTGTACACGTGCATGCAGAAGTGCATATGTGTGTGTGTGTGTGTGTGTGTGTGTGTGCATGAGAGGCTTTCCGAAAATACCCCACCCCCATGCACCTTCCTTTCCAACACCCACACATAATCCCTCCAGTCCATCTTATACCAATCCCCCATCAAGACCAGCAAGGATATTTTTTCTACTGGCATCGTAGGCCAGGCAAGGCAGTACTGCTGTAATGATACCTGAGGCATAGGGCAGTATAACTCTCCCAGAGAGCTGCAAGAAATCCTTCAGCCACAACAGGGCAGTGTGTTGTATAAGGGGGTCTGAAAGAAATTGGAAAACCATACACTTTATAAACTGTTTTGTGTTGTTCTTTTTGTATAAATTGTGATATTTTAGTCATGGGTTTTGAAAATGTGAAAATGTGCTCACAATAAATAAATAAACAAAAATAAATAAATAAATAAATAAAACATGCTGTTGCTGTAAACAGATAATGCTCAGCAATGCTTAAACAAAGAAATACTGTAAACACTCAGACAAATCTCGCTTTAGTTTCTTTCTTTTTCTCTGTTACATAACATTTGTTCTGATAAATAATGCATTAAGTCTTACCTTTTGATTGACTGTGCATGACAAGTACATTGGCCATGGCAGCAAAATCTGCTTTGGACCGCTCCTTGTGAATACCTTGTAGGAACTCGCCCAAGCAGGCCTCACACCTAAATAACAATAAGGCCCCATTGAGAATAGGGGACCAACTAGTCCTAGTGTCAGATATGGCAACCCACTACAAAGCTACTGGACACTGAATAGATATCCCAAAGAGAAGTATTCCAGTGGGTCGGCTATATTTGACCCCAACACTAGTTAGTCCCCTATACTGAATGGGGCCTAAGATAAGATTTGTAAATATCATTATTTATAGGGTACCAGGCTCAGATTTTAATTTGATTTGGGTCTTGGTAAGAGCCTCAGACAAATAAATTGATAAATTTTCCCAGTGATGTGACCATCTCTGCCAAATGGGAATTTTTTTTAATCACTACTAAGTTAGTAGTACTAACATTTATCTATCTACAAGAGTTACTGTTAATATGAGTTAACAATTGCAATCATAATGACGAATCGGCTTCTGCAAATAGAGATCAATATACACAAAATATGCATAATAATTTAACTTAACAATATATTCAAAAGTTATTCACTTTTTGTCGTAAATACCTAGTAGTGATTTGTTAAAAATATTTTATAAAGATAAATATCAATTTTTTTTATCCTTTAAGAAATCATTACCAGTGAAGATGAGTTCAATCTGAAAGATAAAATCCCAGACTTACATTTTTCTTATTTCATCATTTTCATCCCCAAGAATGTTGAAAAGTCCGTCTAGAATCTCAGGCAGAAAGACAATCATTTCTATATCTGGCACTGCATCAAGAGTAGAAATCTAAAATATACATGTTAAAAATCTGTCGTTTGCTTACTTGGGCTATGTACCTTTTTTCTTTAACATATCATTCTTGTATCATTTGCACATAAAACTGTTTTAGCCTAACTTTTAGGCTTTACCAGATCATGGATAATGTTTCCAGTTATGTTACTATGTTCATTTTAGCATGTCACTGCATATGATTCAAGACAATTGTTTTGGATCAAAAAAGGAATTTTATCAAGATGATTAATTTTATTCTCTATAATATTATGTACAAAATAGCTCATTTTTGAAAGTAAAACAGACTTCATTCAGAAATATATCAAACTTTGTATTGCAAAGCCTTAACTCACCCAAGACACCAGAAATTGTCGTGCGAATGCATTCCTCACGTAAATTCTATCTCTCAACAATGGCATGAAAGACACCAGGTCAAATGAACTACTCTCTGTGACAATGTCCTGAGACAAATTAGAAAATAAATCTATGGTTATTGCTAATTAAATCTGAACAAAATGGCATTATTATATCTAAAAAAAAAAAGCTTTGCTTGCAAAACAGGAATGATGTTTTAAAATTCTACTCATTAAGTTGAATTGAAATATAATATCATTCTACTTTTTACTTTAAAACCACATAATGACCATAACTTTTGAGTGAATTTTTTTATCTGAAAAGCCACTTTTATTGTTTAGCATGACACCAAGTGGTATCAAAAGTCTATACTTGACTTTTCAAGTTCTGACATCATTCCACTATTAGCTGATATGTTTTACCTTCACTAGACGATCTAAAAGTTCAGATCCATTCTTAACATTTTGATCAGGGTCAGCAGCCAGCTAAATAGGACCAAAAAGCCATGGATTAATTGAATATATTAATCTATCCAAATATTATAAATATGTAATTTTTATATTCAACTTTTGTTTATTACAAGCTAAAATTTGAATTATTTTTATAAAACTGAATGAGATAAAACATTTTATTTTGTTGTTTTTATTATTTGTTTTATGCATAAATAAATAAATAAATAAATAAATAAATAAATAAATAAACAGAAGTTACTCTAGGAGTTCAGTTATAAAAATAAAGACACGAGGCAAGTAATCTTTTGTATTTTGTTCTGTAAATAGCAACTAAGGGCAGCTAAAATGCTAAACAGTCTTTGCTAGGACCAATTATTAACTTGAGTCATTTTGTGAAAACAAGTCCCTAAAAATGAATATTTACCTTGCTCAACCCATCAAAAATATCATTAAACAAAGGAAGAACAGATCCTCTGGCCACTTTGACTATGTTGTACAGAGCCTCGCATGCGTAGTATCTCACTCGTCCATCCTGGTCATAGAAACAGGCCAAAGTAGGCTTGACCATCTCCCTTACATACAGACTGGACTCCTGAAAAGATTACATAAGCATTTGTCTCATCAGGACATTTCCCAAGTTTGTTGACTATCTTGAATGAAACATTAACCCCATAGGATCCGGTTAATGCTGACCCATAAAGTTCTGCTGTGCCCAATTAATTCTGTGACCTAGCCTTGAAAAGCCGGGTCACCTCAGTAAATTGGCCATAATTTATTTGTTTGCCTTTATTACCTATATAAAGTATACATTTTTAAAAAGCCAATATTTCAAGCTAAATGAAAATAGAATCACATTTAAATTCAACATGCAGTATCAAGAGTTATGGCCGGTTAAAAACTACATTTTTATTTGGTAATGGGTGAAATAAAACAAAGTTGATTTATCTTATGCACTTTATTTTTTTATTTCTCCATACATTTGGCTGAAAATTCACAGAAATGATGTCAATTATAGTAACTTTCAATCCAGGAAATTTCAGCAAGTTACCTCCAATAGTTTTCAAGTTATGCTCGTTTTGCTATCAGGTATACTTGAGCCAACTTTTCAGCTCACCTGAACATCGTGGCCAGAGCTGAGTAGAAGTCAAATTTCAACACCATCTATGACAAAAACATCTGTTAAACTTATATCAAAAATAAAGGAATATCATAGCCACTGTCTATATCACTGTCACTCGAAATCACCTTATCAGTGTCATAGTTTTTAATCATTTCAATAAGTGTCTATTCGCAGGCCCCTTCCGTAGTGAGGAGTCGCCATTTTGATTTTAATTTCTCCAGCTAAGTCTAGAAAATCGCCGATTTCTCGCTTATTTATTTTTCCATCGTCCTTTATATCATAAATAAAGGAATATCATCGTCACTGTCTATGTCACTGTCACACGAAAACTTCTCATCATAGTCCGAGTTTTCAATCATTTCAATAACAGTAACCATTAGTAGTTCCATACCGTAGCGAGGAGCCGCCATCTTGATTTTACTTTCTCCAACTAAGTCTAGAAAATTGCCGTTTTCTCGCTCATATATATTTCTATCGTCTTTAAAAATGGTGGCAATAAGAGACAAGAAACATACCCGGATGTTAAACTATATATCATTTCATGACTCACAATACAAAAGAGTACAGAAGCCGATCTTTACAAGATACGCACATATGCGGTTCTGGGCTTTTGGGGTAAGTGATAATTGAACCGCACATATGCGGTGACGGGCTCCATGGGGTTAATAGAGACATATGCAGAAAATGAATGTTCTATTACATAACACAATATTCCTAGAATATATATATTTTTTAAAATTTAGTATGATCAAAAAAGTTTCCAAAGCTAAATTTGCCCTCTGTTAGCAAATTTAACACAATTTTTTTCACGTAGTTATAGTACTTGAACAAAAGTATTCAGAAAAAGAAAGAGAGAAATTCACAAACCTTCCCCAGTGCGATGGCAGTGGCAGCCATGCCAATCAAGCCTCCTTTCCTTCCATTGGGGTTCTGCGAGGTAGAGAAGTCTTTGCCCCCCAACACCTGCAGCACCCGGGTGATCTCCTCTCTGTTGTTAGTAGCAACATATTCTCTCACTTGTCTTAAAAAATGAAATTAAAAAGGAAAAATGAAAATCAATTTTTAAATTATTGATAAAAACTGGTGAATTAAATACAATCATTCTAGATGTAAAATATATATCAATCATGAACGATCAGCTCTTGTAATAGTCATTTTCACTGCAAAAGATTCTAACACCTGTCCGAATAAATGAATGAATAAATAATCAGTCAATTAACATTAATGATGTTAAAGATTGACAGGATGGATAAATGTCAAATAATACAAAAATCCATTGCTAAAGATCATCATCCCCATTCTGTAAATGTTACCTATATTTAAGTATTTAAGATAAATCAATCAAGGTGAAGCATTGACCTAAGGTTAGTACCAGTACTTAGTATTTATTTTTCATAATCCCATTTCAAAACATTTTATTGGATTATGTCTTCACAATGTCAAGGAGAGAATAATGAGGTGTCAAAATGAACTTATAAATCTTCCGTGTTTTAAAAGCATTGTGCCATACATTATCAGCACCTGGCTTGAGGCAGATTACCACTAAACGACTTAAACCCAGTTTACCCCCCCCCCCACCTGGTACCAGCTTACTGATTTATATGGGTGGTGTGCTGGTATGGCACAAAGACCACCCCCCCCCCCTGCAAAATATAACCACTTACTCCCTCTTCTTTAAGAGATCTTGATACTCCAGACTTATTTTATTTAATTGTGTTTTTAATTGTGGGATTTCATTGTTTCTTCTTCTTGTACCGTAGTTATACTAGTATACAGTACTGGGTATGTCATCAATATACCAGATTTCCGGGAAGAAATATATAATTATTAGTACTGATTTAGGAAATACAATGCGCATTATTTAAAGAAATATTTTCAAAAAGACTCTCAAACACCCTAGCTTAATCCTAGCACAAGTTGCAACTTGGTTCCTGACTCTTGTCTATTTCAGAGTCTTGTTTCTTGCAGAAGAAGGAAGTCTGCAAGTTGACCGTCTTAATCCAACCGGCTTCAGTTTACCTTTCGATTTCAAGGGCAGCTCCTTTTCTTTTCTCGTAGAGTTTGTCATTCAATGCCCGGACACATGCCGCCGTAAGCGGCGCAAAATCTTTCTCGTTCATCAAAACGAGTTGGTTACCACGTCCATAAACTACATTTAGATAGACTTGACAAGTAGAGTCCCACTTTCAATGCATGTGATTAACGCCGCTTACAGCTTTATAAAATGCGCATTGTATTTGATGCAAGCGACACTTATCAACAAATCTAGGTCAAGCAGCCAAAGCTGAACGTGAGCAACAAACGAGGCATTCTTACAGTCGGCATGACGTCACAAGATGGCCGCCACGCCCGGACTAGGGTAAAACAATCTGTAAACTCCATTGCTCCCCATGTTAAAATGATCAACTTTGATCGTCTGTATCTCTCACACCGGTAGATAATTAAACTTGACAACTGTTTAATTATATCAACATAGGTATTTAGTGTCAGGAAATGGCCATCAAGGACCTTTTCTAGCATTGATGCCGATTTTATCAGCGATTGAAATGCACCCATCTTACACTGTAATTATATGAGCTGCAGTTAACCCATTGTAGCCCTCGTCATCAAAACAAACGGCAGCCATACTGGAGGGAGACCGGAATCGTCTGCTGCGCATGATCATGTTTACATGTACAATTTAGCATTTAATTTCTGTGTTTTCTTTGATATTAAACCGAGTAAAATGATGAATTACTGCAGGGTATATGATAGAGAGAAGATAAATAACTTAACAAGCGTTCACAGACTGCCTGCAGTGGTAACAATCCAAGGTGTAGGGACGAAAACCGTAAACGGAGGAGAGACTGAGGAGTGGCTTTGAATCAAGACTCATCGGACAAGTAAAGGATAAAACTAATTTATTTTACAGCAAAGAATGAAGACCCAGCTGTGCAGCCTTTACCATAAAAGAAAAAA